TTGCGAAAGTATTCGGCCCCCTTGAACTTTTCAACCTTTTGCCACATTTCAGGCTTCAAACATAAAGATATAAAATTTTAATTTTTTGTGAAGAATCAACAACAAGTGGGACGCAATCGTGAAGTGGAATGAAATTTATTGGATGTGTCAAACTTTAACAAACAAAAAACCTGAAAAGTGGGGCGTGCAATATTATTCGGCCCCCTTGTGTTAATACTTTGTAGCGCCACCTTTTGCTGCAGTTCCAGCTGCAAGTCTCTTGGGGTATGTCTCTATCAGTTTTGCACATGGAGAGACTGAAATTCTGCCCATTCTTCCTGCGAAACAGCTCGAGCTCAGTGAGGTTGGATGGAGAGCATTTGTGAACAGCAGTCTTCAGCTCTTTCCACAGATTCTCGATTGGATTCAGGAATGGACTTTGACTTGGCCATTCCAACACCTGGATACGTTTATTTGTGAACCATTCCATTGTAGATGTGTCTTTATGTTTTGGATCATTGTCTTGTTGGAAGATAAATCTCCGTCCCAGTCTCAGGTCTCTTGCAGACTCAAACAGGTTTTCTTCCAGAATGGTCCTGTATTTGGCCCCATCCATCTTCCCATCAATTCTGATCATCTTCCCTGTCCCTGCTGACGAAAAGCAGGCCCAAACCATGATGCTGCTACCACCATGTTTGACTGTGGGTTCAGGGTGATGAGCTGTGTTGCTTTTACGCCAAACATATCGTTTTGCATTGTGGCCAAACAGTTGGATTTTGGTTTCATGTGACCAGAGCACCTTCTTCCACATGTTTGGTGTCTCCCAGGTGCTTGTGGCAAACTTTAAACAACACTTTTGATGGATATCTTTGAGAAATGGCTTTCTTCTTGCCACTCTTCCATAAAGGCCAGATTTGTGCAGTGTACGACTGATTGTTGTCCTATGGACAGACTCTCCCACCTCAGCTGTAGATCTCTGCAGTTCATCCAGAGTGATCATGGGCCTCTTGGCTGCATCTCTGATCAGTCTTCTCCTTGTTCGAGATGAAAGTTTAGAGGGACGGCCGGGTCTTGGTAGATGTGCAGTGGTCTGATATTCCTTCCATTTCAATATGATTGCTTGCACAGTGCTCCTTGGGATGTTTAAAGCTTGGGAAATAGTTTTGTATCCAAATCCAGATTTAAACTTCTCCACAACAGTATCTTGGACCTGCCTGGTGTGTTCCTTGGTCTTCATTATGCTCTCTGAGCTTTGAACAGAACCCTGAGACTATCACAGAGCAGGTGCATTTATAAGGAGACTTGATTACACACAGGTGGATTCTATTTATCATCATCAGTCATTTGGGACAACGTTGGATCATTCATAGATCCTCACTGAACTTCTGGAGTGAGTTTGCTGCACTGAAAGTAAAGTGGCTGAATAATATTGCACGCCCCACTTTTCAGTTTTTTATTTGTTAAAAAAGTTTGACACATCCAATAAATTTCATTCCACTTCACGATTGTGTCCCACTTGTTGATTCTTCACAAAAAATTAAAATTTTATATCTTTATGTTTGAAGCCTGAAATGTGGCAAAAGATTGAAAAGTTCAAGGGGGCCGAATACTTTCGCAAGGCACTGTATTTGTGTTTTCATCCAATAATTACAAAATTTTGAATATTCCTGAAACTGCTGTTTAAAAACGCCGAGAGAGAGAGAGAGAGAGAGAGAGAGAGAGAGAGAGAGAGAGAGAG